CGACGACGTAAAAGTAAAGAAGAAGAGAGAGAGAAGGAGAGAGAGAGAGAGAGAGAGAGAGAACGGTTAGCCAGGGCACGTTATCCCTGTTGCATCCCTTTTTCTCGGAGCGTGCCGCTCTTAACGCGGAACTAAGTCCTTTTTTAGCACGGATCGGCGATCGCGCGGAGCATGTGACGTGACCCTTGACATTACGCCCTATCGATCGTTTATTTATGCCGAGGGATGATTTATCAAACTTTAAGGGATCTCGTGGAAAACTATCTCGCGGCCGGCGTATCAATTATTCTCGCGCGTTTCGTACATTTATATATGCGCGGAATGCGAGAAGGCACGCGAGTATGCGCGGAATCGAGATATCCGCTTGGTGATCGTCCCTTTGTGTGTATGTGTGTATGAGTTATACGTCGATAGGAATATTCGTGTCGTCGTTGTATCACACAAAGGAGCCGAGGGTTGACGCGCGCTCACGCCTCTGTGTCGCCTTCAATGGACGATGACGTAAGTTACGTCTGCTCACGCACGATTACGCAGCGGATCGCCGCTGTAAGTTCAAGTATGCCGCGGGATAAGGATGCCGCCATCATTGCGGCATCATTATTATGGCGAAGATTATGGCGAGTCGAGCCGATCTCTTTTTTCTTTTTTTTTTTTTTAATTCAAACTTTAATCTGCTCCGAGGTGAAAAAAAATCCGCGTCTCGCCAAATATTCCAGATCTGTCGCGTCGCAGACACTTTGGATGCCAAATTCTTTAATGTACTAAAAATAGATCTCTCCTCCCTTGGAAAATGCACGACGGGAAACTTTATTCGTCTTAACGTTTCATCGTTTCTCGCGCGGGACCAACTTCCCCTCGACGAAGCCGATTAGAAAAAAAAAAGTAAACTTTTTAATATACTTAGAGCATTTAACGGCGGAGATTGGATAGTCGGAGGTGGCCTTGAAGCGAAAAAGCGCGCGACTATCGGTACGCGGATCGCTCGGCACGTGCCGATATAAGCTTTTTTTCCCGCTTCCGAGAGACACTGAGAGCTCGATCGAGATGATAAAAATTCGCGTCACTCGCGCGCGAGCGATGTGCGGGAGAAGGCTGGAGTGACGAGCGGCTGCGCTCCGGAGAGGGAATGCGGTATCGTTTGCGTTTACGCCCGTGACGCGACGCGAAAGAGTCGCATGCTTCCTCCGCGGGAGAAAGTCCTCCGAGGCGTCGTCGTGCACGACGTGGTGATCGATACCATCGCGCGGCTCTCGAGCGGATCGTGCGGCTCGTATTGACCGACAATTTTCGCGCGGAGGAAGGTCACCAGCTAGCAGACATGTCACAATCATTGCCGCAATCGCGACGCGATCGATCGCGGAAATCGGATCGGCTTTAGCCGGCCTTTTATTACCGGTTTGTCGTAGCCGTGGTACAGCGATCTGATTTCTCATTCCGATTGACATTTGTAAATGACATGTGTAAATTTGGTCACGCTTCGTCCTAAAAATCCTTCTGTTTCGAAGGTCTTGTGTCGGGAATCCAGCGTGTGTCTTTTTATGCTCTTATCTCTATTTTTTTCACGTTGACTAGATTCGCGTTGACTAGACTCATTTCAATTACATATGTAGATGAGAGTGATTTCAATTTCGACGAGTCAGTTATGAAGAAGCTTGTCGCTGCTACTCAGAATTTGATATCTAAATGGGAATCGTTGATCAATACGTGTTATTCGGTTGGTTATGCGATAGTTTCCGGGATTTACTGGCGAGATAATCGTTTTAAAGCATTCCAAGTGTAATGTTCATTTTACCGAATACTATAATCCTGAATATTTGCTAAATGTAACACATTGTAGATAGATTACGGCTTATTTGTTCAAAAAAATATTTTGTGAAAATATTTCAATATTTTCTGAATATTTATTCGTAAATATGTTTTTAGTTAAAAGATTTTTTTTTAAGAAATTCTGAAATTTTTATTCATGAAAAGCTTACTATACGCATCACGTACATGTCTGTAAAAAATGATTTATTAGAGTTTTTTTCATTGCATTTTTTTATATTGCGCCAGTTTCTTTTTTTCTTCAATCTCTATCTCTTTAGCTCCAAAGCTGAAGTATATATTTGTTTCGTTTTACACGCGTACCATAAAAAGGTATATATCTATAAATCCAATTTATATTTGTAATATTTATTACGAACGAATTAGAGGCAAGAAAGAGGATGAAAAGAAGACCTAACCCCGCTTGTACCAATGCTATTCCGGCTTTAAACGGGACTAAATACGGAGTCCGTCTTTATTTATTTAAAAAGAAAGATAAAGACAGATACGTGTTTAAGTCTCGCTTAAAGCCAAAGTAACGTCGGTGCACGTCGGAAAAAAAAGTTTGATTGAATTAATTGAAATTCTGATAGAAAATGAATAAAACAGAAATTTCTGCTTAAATCTACTAAAATTTCAGTTGAGGTAACCAGAATTTTGATTGATATAATCAGAACCCTTTGATTGGTCCATTTTCAATCAGACGTTTTTCCGCGGGCTTTAGGCGCATATTATCGGTCGTCTCGACGACAGGCATTTCGAGAGCGACGGCACAGGCTCGGAATATCTCCGTCTCGCAAATCCAAACAGTCGGACAGGATTCTCGTGCCGATCATCGTCATCCGCGAGTTCTGACCGCGGCAGCGTCGATCGATATATCGGGAATGGCAGCCGCGCGCGGCGGGGCCGCGCGTCACGCTACATGTATGCATAGCGAAATACACGAGAGAGCTGTGTGGCACACACCTTGGCGATTCGATTGCCAGTCCTATCGCGCCTCGTAATCGAGACCTCGTTACTGCCGATGTATAAACGACGAAACCGCGGGTCGACGCAGCCGACGCAGGCCGTCGAGCTGTACGGAGCGTCGCGAGCGCCGCGCCGCGCCGCGCCGCACGCGCCAGTAGAAGTGGTCGAATCAACGACTGGTCAGACATAGCGTCTACCCACGGCTGACACGCTTCACTTCGATCATCATATGGCAACTCTCTTATAGTCGGGCCCTTCCACCGAGGGAAAACTTTTCCTACACTACGACTACGTTATATAACGCTGATATCTAATATATTTTTACCACCGCGTTGAAAGTTGAAGCGTCTTTCAGTCGGGAAAGGAATAAAAAGTGCAAGTGTCATATTTTTTTTTAAAAATAACTTTCGCTCGGGATATAAATCTACTACTTTCCAACTTCATATCGTCGGAAGAAGTTCAAAAACCGAAGCCAAATATTTGAGTCACTAATGTAATGTAATGTAATGCTAAAGTTGAAGGATAATCCTGATTATTTAATCCAAAATGTCAGGACAACTCGGATTTAATATCCAGAACTTTATACTAGATAATTTTTATAGCCAGAGATTAATAGATTCCTCCCCCTTAAATTCTTATTGACGCATCGAATGCCAAATTCGTGGCTTTGGACTACTTTAAATGTACCAGTCATAGTATTATGGATGTATCATTACTCTCACGTTATGGGCCAGCCATTATCTTATTAATATGTATCATTATAATGTACGCCCCCGTATGCCTCTACAGCTTGCTTATTTGTGCTATATTTACGGCAGCTACACCCGTGGTTCTATGGAATGTCAAACAGTCTATCATGTGTAACATCGCGGCCGATACTGGATATTTGATACACATTGTCTTAGATTTTGCGGATTATCGGGATTCGTATCAAATGACAAATTTTGTTGTGAGTCACAGCAAAACGAAACCGAACAAAACGGAGACCGAATTAGATTTTTTTACAAAAAAAAAATGCACGTTCTCCATCGAATTTCGCAAGTCCGTCATAATTTGCACAAAACTATATATTTTACCAATGTAACTCGACATCGTAGGTCTCTTCGCTCCTCTAAAAACGAACAACTCGCGCATCGAGTTTCTAAAGGATAAAATATTCACGTGGAAAACAGATTAATAGGTCAGACCTCCTTTATACCGCAATATTCTTTCGTGACTGACTAGACAAATGCGGTATTGCCACAATTATACTCGACACTTGGAGCGTAGCGTTGACTAACGGAACGAGATGGCAAGGGTTGCACGAGCCACTTTGACGATCCGTGGAGTTAGGCGAAAACGAACCGTCCGAAATCCCTACGGAGCTCCGAGAACGAGAGAGATGTCCGAGAGACATCTAAGAAGAAACGGACTTTCGGACACTCCTGATTGGAAGCATACATGACGTATAGGTCGATTTGAGGACACTTACGGTTGAGGAGGTTGAACACTCTCCAGCGTAGATAGTCACCGCTGCGAACGTAAAAGAGAAGCGCGACGTAGCGATATGGAGAGAAGAGAGGCACTGCGACGTCGAGCGGAAAGAGGGAGGGCGCGGGGGCGGGGGCGGGTTCTGGGATACCTCCGCGGGCCTTGCTCGAGATGTAAGGGTAGCACAACCGAGCACCGTGAGACGACACACTAAGTATAACACTTTCACACTGACGACGAGATAGAAGAAGAACGACCGACGAGACGTGTGACGTTTACTCGGGATATACCGCCTCGCGCGATGTCCACCTGCATATACGCGTGTGTGGCCGCCGTGTGTACACGCGTGTACGGCCCCTCTTCGTTCCTTTCGTTACGCCACGAATTCGGTTTTCTTCCGCTCCTTTCTTCTTTTTCTTTCCCCTCGGCTCTCGGGCGACGATGGCGACCACGGTTGTACGAGAGAGAGGCGCTCTTCCGTTTCGATTTTCCCTCGTTCACTTTTTTTTTTTCTACAACTTCGTTTCTATTCTTCCTCACTATTAGCACTTTTTATTCCTTTTCTTGTTCTTCTTTCTCCTCTTCTATCTCTTCCTTCTTCTTCCTCTCTTATTCCTTCTCCTTCTCCTTCTCCTTCTCCTCCTTCTCTATTCTTCACCGCAGCGGCAAGGACCCGCCCCGTGTCGCGCTACACGAACGTGTAGTGGATGAAGAGAGCGTAAAACTTGCTCTGTGACAACATTATTCAGCCGGTTATCGGTATCTCCGTTGCCTCGTCATTTCGTCTCGCGTCCGTCCTATGGTCTGAGCCGCCCGCGCGCCGCAACGAAAATTGATCGCGTTGCGCGCGACGGTCCCTTCCTCGGGGGACAGGCCCGTCGACGCGTCCGTGTCCGGCCGCCGCGTCGCCCGTGTTGACGCGGGGCTACTCTCCTTAACGCACCGGGGGTCCGTTCACGCGTACCCACTACACCACTTCTCTCTCACAACGCCGTTCTCTCGCGCTGCCGCCGTCCTCAGCCAATCTATGCCGTAGGACCGCGCGGCGGGTCTTTCTTTTCCACTCTACCTTTGTTCTTTCGTCGACTCTCTCACCGCCGCACGCTCGGTGCACACACACACAGAACACACATGTTTACGATGACACACACGCGCGCACGCACATAGGCGCGCGCACACACACACACACACACACACACACACACACACACACCACTACACGCGTGCGCGCGCGCGCACGCGCGCGTGCATACACTCACGGACACACGGCGCACAGGCACGGACACGCGCTAACACACGCGAAGTCGGACGCGGCCGAACGCACGCGCGCGCGCACGAACGAACGAACGAACGAACGAACGAACGATCGTTTTCTTTATCCCTCTCGCTTTAACCCTCTCTCAGCGGCCGCGTTCCTTCTCTCTCGAAGCTATGTCCTCCTTCGCCACCTCCACCACCACCACTACCACCACCACCCACTACTGCTCTCTCTCGCCCACTCTTTCCTCTCGTTCTATTTTTCTCCGTCTCTCTCTTTCGACCCTCCTTTGCTCTCTCGCTCGCGCCGCTAGTCCCTGCACCCCCTCGACGTGCCCGACGTTCGACGTCTCACCCTCGGAGCAACACGGCCGGCACGAAGGGTCGCTCGCTACCAACGCTGCCACGTTCGAGACCTCCGCGAGTTCCTCACGTCGGCACTCGACGAGTCCAATCCCGAACTCTCGCGCGTACTATCGTACTATATCCGAACTCTACGCTGTACGTACTTCGTGTCGCGAAAGCGATCTCCTCCTCGGTGCCGACTGTCGCGATCAGTCGAGCCGACGCGAACCGTTACTGCATCGCCACGCGCCAGTCTTTCGCGCAGCGAACTCTGTGGAAACTAGTCACGGGGCACCCCGCTCCACGCCCGCTGTACCTCATTCGCGATCCGCTACGCGAATCAACCCCCCGCCACTCTGACGACTATCCTGCGCCCTGTAAAGCCGCGTCGCGAGTCCGCGCCGAGACCGGCGGCGCGACGATTCCCTGAGGATAATTCGGACTTGCTGGCGGGATCGAGGCGACGTCGTGACCACCGTTGCGGGATGGAATTGTCACGGCGGTGCGAAGCGTAATTCTTTCCCTTTTCCTTCTTTTTTCATTTTCTCTCGAGAACACGAGTCTTCCCGTGGCGAAACGACGGAATACCACCGAGACGGTACGGGGCGAGATCAATGCTCCGTTCAGGGCTCGTAAGTGCTTGCGTGGTGCGCTTCCGTAGCACAGGGTGGATCAATGAAAACGTACCCCTCCATCTCGATGTCGTGGACGTAGCCTCGCGCCGCCCCTTGCCGCTTTGCGATAGAAACTCGGTACCATACCGCGCCACTCTTACTTAACTCTGTCTGAAAACATTCATCCGCACCCTCTACGATCATACCCGCGAGCTTGAAGCTCGTCCGCAAAGCTCACCACCACGCCGCGGACGCCTCGTGTCATGAAACGTCTTCGTCGGCCCGGCACTTCAAAATTGTCATTCGTACATGTTTAATTTCTCTAAGAATTCGAAATGAAGCGTACTTTTTGCTCAAAAATTTTTTTTTAGTTTTGCGAATAAAGTGTAAACGTAAAAGTGTACGCTTAACATATCGCTAAATATGGAGCATCGGCACGTGTAAGAATAAGGTTTTATATAAATAAGGTGGGACGTAAAGTTGATAAATTAAGATGTGATTAAAAAAAAATAATCTTCATATATTTGTAAAAATACAAGAACACATGAATACATAATGAAACATATTTTACTTTAATATTAGAGATAGGGAATGAATATCGTAATGAAAATTATACGGAATGTCATACAACTTATTGTAGGATATATTTCGTAAATCGTGCATACAATCGACGTTTAATTACAAATTGCTTAGAAAAGTTCAATCATTCGTTGCACAAATTAACACGCCATTTTCTCATAGCGTATTTAGAAACAAATGTGATTGCTTTAACATTTTTTTTTTCATCAAGTATCAACAGACAACGTACTATCGTAAAATATTAAAATAGAGAACTAGACTACACTAACGCTTGCTAAATGTTAAATACGTTATGAGAAACCATTTATCATTCACGCTATCATCACACTGATTTCAGATCTAATAGTTCGTGTAAAAATATATATAATATGTGTCATATAAATATATATGTATGTATATAGGAATATCTCTTTGTGAAGAACAATAGTTTGTGTGTAGCAATGCACCTAACGTACACGCGACATATAAAGAAACCACATGGCACATGAACGGCGAGTTCATCGGTTCAAATAAGCGTTGCCACGTCGTTTCGGCATTCTACGAATACAGAGATATAGGCCAGTGATGACCATAATGAGCAAAGGAAGGCCGAGGCCAATTGAGATAATCATAATGACTAGAGAAGAGAATCTCTCCTCGGGTGGTGTTCCATATCCGATCGTAAAGGTCCTGTAACATAAAATATAAAACATAATAACGTTTTGTCGATCAAAGAGATTGCAGGAAATATACATTTCTAACGCGTTATAGAATTTCTAAAATATGAAAAAAATATGAGAATGAATAACAGTTTTACCGACGACTTACCACGTTAGATAATTTGTCTTCTTATAAAAACCATCTCCTTTCATGCCCAAGGAAACCGTCAATCTCTGCAGCAAGAGATCATCCGCAGTTTCGCCGTAATAACAATAGAGCATCGAATTTTTAATAACGCTCGTATGATTGAACACTTTTTTCGGTGGATATTGTACTGTTTCCGTGGAACTGGTTACATCGCGCGATGCGCTGTTATATGACACCGGCCGCCATTGTAAATATGATCCGGCGTCTAGCCCATTATTCAGATCTCTGTAGGGTGGCGTTCTAACTTCGACAACCTGAAATCACGGAAAGTTAAAATAATATTTTCAATTAAAGTACAAGTGTAATGAGCTCGTCGAAGACAATAGGTGTTCGCTATTATTACCTCGAATATACCCGGCGTGTGCTCGTCATCCAGACTTTTTTTCGGATCAACGAACATCGGTACCTCGGGATCACCACCGCCAACCGCGAGCAATTCGATGGCGAATCTGCTATTGGAAAAGGTTTCGTTGGTCTGGAGGTGGTCGAGAATGATATCCACCAGCGTAGAATTCTCTGTGTGCAACATATGCGGCACCATAGCCGAGTGGTCGAGGGTGCAGAATCCTCGGAGCTGGCGAGCGAAACGAGAGATACTTTACACAAGGGTCTCGTATTACAAACATGGGACTAAAGAAGCCGGATATATGTATTTTCGTTCAAGGCTCAAGATGAAGCTGATTCCCGCTTAACCGAGCCATTGAGATTATTTTCACATGCGTCGCTACGTACTACCGATACTTTCTCTCCAATGCTGCAAAATACTTTACCGAAAGCTTTATACTCCCGTATCGGCTGATATTCTTAGCTGTATCGTGATAAGAGTTACCCTCCATATCCAGATAGACGAATTCGCTCTTTTGCGATAGGGACACGCGCCGCCAGTTGAAATACTCGGGACGCAAAACGTTCGTATTAGTGACGTCGGCAGTGTCAATCAGTGCCGTGTCATTTACGTCGTTGAATTCGATAATCTGTAACACCGTAATGTAACTTGATGTTATTCAGCAGTCCGATATATGCGCGAACGCTGTCGTTTAGAAGTCATAACGGATGACGAAATCGGGTCACGATGACGAGGCTACGCTCATTCGAACCGAAATAAATACAATCGCCATTTCTCACGCGTAATGGAGCATTAGCGCACAATAAAATTAATCAAATCAAACCGCAATCTCGTCCCCGTATCCGAACCCGTGCCGTGTCGTGTACCCGAAATTCCTGCCAGATGCAGCCGATCGATGTGTAGCGTAGAAATCTGTTTGTTCATTGCTGTGGACAATCCCGCTTTGTGCGCGACCATTAATTCCGTCAGCTGAATAAGGTGAACTAACCGTCAATCATCAATTACGCGCTTTACAAAGGATTAACTCCGCGCATTCGATATATACATAGAGTACATTAAATGGGAAATTGAGATTATTTCGATAATGCGACGTAATTATAAATTACCAGAAATTTACGTGAAATATTCCAATTATTCTATTTCGCGCAAAGATACGCGTTCGTGAAGGGAGATGTACACGCGTATCTCGGGGAGAAGACACTTGGCCTGAAAACAGCCTCTACGAAGTGGAGACATTGTGGAGTGCCGAAGGTTTAATTAAGAAACCGCGCGAGCACGCAGATGAATCCTCCGCACTCGACATGAGAATATGACGAGTGGATTTATGTCACTCACTCGAATTTACCTCCACGTCTGGTGGAAGTAAATCAAAGTAACAAGTACCTTCAACGTACTATTCTTATATTCCCGTGTGCTTACACTGAGTATTTATACTTGTCGTATTTTTTTTTACATTACTCAGCAAAATTTTACCAGCATATTAAAATCGAACTGTTTGTTTCTATATCTCGGCTGTTCGGCATAATTCGTTTAACAGTCTGGCAGGATAAAACGTAATTAACAATAATTATAAAAAATTATCTATTTATCTAAAAAGAAAGGTGCCAAGGATACACAGAAAAATCATTAATCAAGACTATATTATAACTTTTTTAGAAAAATTTCAGTCTTGATTTGATTAAATTCATATTGATACAAATATAGATATTCTCTTATATAAGAATATTATAATCTTTATAAAAATTTTAATCTCGATTGAATTTGTATTGATACAAATATTATTTTTACTCGACTCAAGACTAAAAATTTTCTATGAAGGTAATAAAGTCTTGATTAATTTTTTTTCTGTGTATATAAAAAAATTAGCGTAAAAATATGTTATTAAAAATATATTATTAAAAATATGTTATTAAAAATATGTATTATTTTAATGAGGACAAGTGGTTTTGCAAAGTAATAATAATCATTTTGATGTCTCGCCTTCTCGATACAAGATCGGAAGACAAAACGCGATCGATCACGCGTTGAATGAACGAAGCCATGGTTGATCAGCCGTCGAGTCTATTCTCCGGTCCAAAATTACCTTGTTTATTATCAGCCCGAAGGAATAGGTGGGCTTCTCCGTGAAGTGGAGCGAGTTCGGCTTCCTCGCGAGATAGTCGTCCCAGCTGATATTGAGCCAGACGGACGGCGGCGTGAGCGCCAACAGTATAGACGGGGTGCCGGTGAAATCCCACAAATAATGCAACGTGTCGTTCGGGCCATCGGCTCTCAGGTAGAGCGTCGTCACGTTTCGCTCGCGGCACGACTCCTCGCAGTCCGGGTTCAGGAACGAACGCAACTAAGGCAGGATAAAGTGGGCGTTTTATGCGAGCGTTGCGGAGATTAAACGACATCGTATTAACGGACGGATGGCCTAGATCAGCGCCGGATTGTGTGGCCTTGCCGTTCCTACGAGCATCCCCTGCCCCTCCCTCCTGTCTTCCTCCCCCCTTCTTCTCCTTCTCCGATTATTATTGCACAAAACAGCGGTCGCACCGTTACGCGACGCGCAGACTCGTATCTACGAACCGTGAAGTAACGAAAGTTACGTTTTCTTTCATCTTTCTTCTCATTCTTATAAGAGAGAGAGAGAGAGAGAGAGAGAGAGAGCACGTGCGGGATACTCTCGACTTACTCTGTCGTAATACTTTCCCCGCGATTTCATTGAAAGAAAGATCGAAAATTCTATTTCACGCTAGAAGGACTGTCACTATCAACGTGTGAAAACCTCACTTTCTTTTAAAATTCACGCATGACACTCTTGAGGTTAATATCTCATCAAGGTGTTTATTCAGATGTTATAAAAAAGTTCTCTGAGAATTTCTGGATTTTTCAGATATTTTTGTTTAAAATTTCAGGCAAAAGAATTTAAAGAATTATTAAATGCAACTATCTATTTAAAGAATTCTTAAATGCAACTTTGAAATTTTAATATGTATGTTTTTTAATGTTTCCTAATCGCGAAAGAAATCTACTTAATATTTATACTTTAATCTTGGCTTAATTATTTTAAAGAAACATTGTATTTCCTTTATAAACTCACAAGTTAAATGTAGTCAATCTACGTAAAATACATACGGATGTACTAATAACTTGGATGATTAGTACATTACTAATAACTTATATTATAAAACAAAATTATCAAAAATTTATTTTGAAAAAGGGCAAAATTTAAATTTAAAGATAAAGCAATACAACATAATTTATAAGATAAGTTTTAAATAACAAAACAGAGAAAATAACAATTCGGCAAATTTGATCTTAGGAGTCTAATAATTTTATTTTTAAATTTTTTTAATTTAGTAATTTACTACATATATATATATATATATATATATATATATATATATTAAATTCGGAGTTAAATTTTAGCTATAATTTTACAAATTACTTATAAATTATTAGATCCTAGATCAAGTTCTCCAATATTGCCTTCTCTCTTCTGTCATTAGAGTAAAAATTTCAAAAAAATTACCTTGGATCGCTTGGGAGTAAATTTCCATACTCTTTGATTTTCGAAGAGAAAAAAATTTCCTAAAAATTTCATGGCTCATTAAATATCTTGCTCATTTGTTGTATGATAAAAATTTTAAACATGTTTTATCGGTTACAAAGTAGTCAATTCTGAAAACTTCACTATTCTACAGCCAATCAATATGTTCGAAACATTTGTCATACGAAACTGTCAGTCTAACACACATGGAAATCTTTCTATGTCAGATATTTCTTCGTTCTACTTTCAAGCGAGTTTAAACACATTACACCTAGATTCGCTTAGCTTCTATGCTTATTTACTAATTCACGCCTAGGATCGATAGTCAAGTTTATAACAAATTTAAGACACTCGGCTTATAACGCAGAGTATAATCATATCGAACATTTTTCTGAATCTTTCTGGAAACATTAACGGCATTTTATGTCAGATTATTTGTTTATAATTATCACATATTCGCTCTCTTAATGTCACGTATATATCGATAAGATAATCACGCGTATAAAGCCTTCCGATACAAAGAGATAAAATAAGGAAAGATAAAAGTGAAAATGTATAACATAAACATAACAAGTATTACTATTACTTATTAATTCGATATCATATCAACTTTTGAGTTACATCGATTGTTACACTTTTCAATTACTTAGTTATTAATTTTATTATCAAACCGTCGGAGCTCGAAACCGAATTTAATGTCGCGTCGAGGTACCGCGTTATTTGCGCGCGGCGTTCGAACCAAGGGGATTTAAGACTCAACATGAAAAAATCTCACGGTGATTCACGTGTGCATGCGCAATTAATCATATTAAAGCACTCGCACATTCGATGCGCCGATCGCGCGCTCGGCACAATCGACCGTGCCCTTCGATCTCGAGCAATCTGGGTCACGTCGCGTCGAGGTGCACTTATCCGATCAGCCATTAACACGCGAACGTGTGTAACCAATTTATCAATAATCCACCTGTTTGACAAATGAAAGAAATCGCGCTGTGTGTGTCTCCCGAGAAATTTCCGCGAGCGCGCTCGGAGCCTCGCGCTGGAGGAGAAACGGGAGGGGGGGAGAGAGAGAGAGAGAGAGAGAGGT